TACTAGCTATAGGTTTGATTTTGTGTTGAACTACCACATGTTCATTTGTGGTGTAATACTGTAGTTTCTGGGTTTGTTACCTCTGAGTTCATATTATTGGTTGCTGGGATTTTGTTACACTGTTTGGGTTCGTGGGGGCGGGGAGGGGGGGGTCTCAATTCACTGAGTTAAGTTCTTAGTTGTTGAGTTGGCAAGTTCTGGGGTTTGCTAGTTCATGGAACAAGGTTGAATGCTATAAATGTTTGTTTTCAGTTCATTTTCATTTTAGTTATTGAGTTGGATTTGATCTTTTCTAACTGTGTTTTTTAAGCATTCGGGCATCCAGTGACCCGCAGGTTCGCCCATACCCGCATGGGCTTGGGACAGATTTTGTGGCCGTAAAGCATAGTGGGTCGGGTGCGGGTAATACCCGCAGGCTTAAATGGTGGGCAATGGATATAGGGTATCTGCACCGTACCCAGCCCATTGTCATCACTAATAAATTGGTGAGATGTTTAAAAAAATCACAAGGATTTGAATGACATGTTTGGAGTTTAAGGATAATCAAATATCATATGTTTCTTGTAGTAGTATTACTCTTCTGATTATTTTTTGACGATTTGCGCAATTTGGATTTCATTAAATTAGCGTGGGAGGATTTGAGAGTATGTTAATTAACATGTGTTTGGTAAACTATTATAATGTATATGTGAAAATTTGTGCTCTTTAAGAAAATATGAAGCATGTTTGATATTGTTTCTGAGAAACCTTGTAACCCAAAATAACCTTAACCCGACCCGAAACCGAATGGGTTGGGTCAATATTTGACCCAAAATAAGTGAACCAAACATGACCCGACCCATAACCGACTTCCCCAACCCAAAATTACCCAACTCGACCCGATTGTCGGATCTAATGGCGATAACCGGAGTGGAAGCACTCCAATAGCAGCTCGTACTCTCCTCTTCCGATATTTCCAATTCGGTTGAAGCTGCGCAAACGAACTTGTACCAGTAACTGTAATCGTAACAGCAATGACTGCGGAAGGCGAGGTTACCTGCAGCTTTAACAACGGCGTTAACTGCTCAACAACCACAAGCTTATCAACGGTGGCTTCTTGTTGCTTCGATAGTGACGTGGTTGCGGTAGAAAACCCTCCAACCTTGGCCGCTGCAGGCCGACAACAACAACATTAACGTTCCGTCATTTATTCCTTCTTTTCCTCCGGTTGAAACAGATTCTCGGAATGAGGGAGACTTCGACATCAACTTCCAGGGACATCGCCTTGTTGACCTTTTCCTAAACGCTGCACAATTGAACCAGAGTTAGGTTTAGCTCTTCCCCAGGTTCCAGTCTCGTAGTATCAGCTACGCCAGCAAACTTGTGAGATGGCGGCTAAGCTACCTTGAGGATATCAATGACTTCTTCCTCCTTGGCCTCCCTAGACTAAGCTAAGGTCGGCGAGAGTGTTTGGGCTGGCGCGGTGGCTTCAAACAGGAAAGTCAACTCCTCCATCGTCTCCGAGGCCTCAGAAGCCTTCGGTTCATAGGCCGGGTCACTAGTATCCTTCCAAAGACGCCATTCTTCCATGAGTTTTAGGTTACGGTTCAGAATCTCCAACATATGGTGCAGATTCCTGTGCATGGGGCGCCATTGTTCCCCTGGTGCGAGCCTCTTCGAGCTCTGCTCGTCGGAACCAGAACTAACATGACGCAGCGCCTTGTATTTGGCGGAGAGCTCTGCCAATTGGGTCTCTCGATCTTCCCACGCGAGCTTAACGACGATGTGACTCACAGCTATTTGATCCTGGAATTGTGGGAAGATTCTTGCTGCGTCGGGACCTCCTCGTTGGCAACAACGGTAAGTTTATCGGCGACGGTGGTAGATGGAGCTAGGGTTGGCTCCTCCGTTGACGCAGGAAGAGACAACTCAGCATCGGTCGAAGAATCATCATCAAGCCAGGGCAGAACGTCCAAGAATGGCTTAGGCAGCACCCGACTGACTGGATCGAAACCGTCGAGGGTAAACCTCGTCGTGGCAGGTTGCCAGATTACCTGGCCAAGCTGCTCTTGCCAATAGAGATACTCTGATCTCATTACTGGGCGCTGATATCAACTGTTACGTAGATTTAGTCTACCGGCACCACGTAACGTGATCGAACAATTTTGTTAACTCTACTCCTATTAAATCACAAAGATAACTAAAGACCAAACGTTAAACTGAAAGGTTTTCTTCTTCATTAATGATAATCGAACTAACATCGCAAGTACATATATATATAGACATTAAACCCCAAACTAATCCTAATCTTACTTGGCAACCTTTAACTTGACTGTTACTCACCTAATGAAGACTCCTAATCCTACAAGTGATTCGGGCCTAATTGCACATATTTTGCCTCCGGTTTGCCTAGATGTTTGTACCAAATTCGCTCATTAGAGGTTGATTTTACGCGAGGTTCTTTGTGTTTGAGTGTTTTTCATGATTTAACAGGTGGAACCAGCCTCGAAGTCGAAGGATTGGCGAAAAGGATAAAAAACCGAGAGAAGAGGTAAAAAAACGCAAGTTCACAGCTAAAGGCAAGAGTTCACGGTCGTGCAAGACCGTGAAGAAGTGGAGTTGACCGTGAAGCGCAAGGTGTGTAGAGCCAAGTTGAAGGTTACTGACACAAGGCGAGTTCACGATCACTAAGACCGTGAACACAAACAGTTGCCCGTGAACTGCCGTGATAGATGCAGAGCGTTTTGGCGCAAGGCGTGAGTTCACGAACGCGTTTGATGGTTCACGACCGTGAACTCAGCTCTTCTCGGGTTTAAAAGCTGAGCTGCAAGGAAGAGAGAGAGGAGATCCACTTTTGTGAGAGAAACACTTCTTCTACATTTTAGCGAGAGAAACAAAACCAAAAGAGAAGAAGAGGTTAGGGCTTGGCTTCAAAGGAGGTTTTGGGAAAATTTACCCAAGGAAATCCCAGCTCAAGGTTGAAGAAGAGAGGATGCATCCCCAAAAGATGGTTTCCACCTTTTTTCTCCTTTGTTCTTCCCACTTCTTCCATGGAGTAGTCCTCCTCCCAATTGGGTGTAGTGAAACCCTAAACCCTACCATGTAGTTTTCTTGTATGTGGTTTAGATGATTGATATTGGGTATTGTTCAATTTAATGTTTGAGGTATTTTTCACCATGATTTTGCATGTTTGTGCTTAGCAACTTAGGGGTTGTGCATATTTTGTGCTTAGCATCCTAGTGATTGTGCATAATTGTGCTTAGCACCCCCTAAGTTTGTGCATTTAGGTGCTAGTAATCTAATTTGCCAACTTAGCCTAGTTTAGAGAGGAAAATCCCCCCTTTTTAAGGGAGACTCAAGCGAGTTGGTTTTCCTTCCGCTTTCCAAGCCACCTAAACTAGGTTGAGTTAGGGCAATCCTCAATATTAAATTGGACAAGTCGATTAATCATGGTTAAACCGTCCGACCTAGAGTGGAGTGAGGAAGTAAGTCGATTACCGATTGTCTAAACTGAGAGGGTCGAGTGACACGGCCTTTCCTCCTCACCTCGGTTTAGCAATCGAGATTGTGGGCTCTAATTGAGGTTTAATTATGGTGTAGTTTCGAGCGAGTCAACAAGCTTATGTCTCCTAATTAATCCCTACTCCCTATTAGTAATAATAATACAAATAGAAGACCCCCCATGTCACATACTCGTAACAAGCAGCAAAGAAGAAGAAGAACAGGGGAAAAGGGAGTTTGGTGAGAAGATGGAAAATTGGGTAGGGGGCTTAGGGATACGAAGATAAGTAGTGAAAAGAAGGTAGGTGGATTTGATTTTTTTATTAAAGGGGGAAAAGTTTCAATTATCAAGAGGGGGAAATTTGGACGGTCAAAATAGAAGGTGAAAATTCAAAATTACAAATATGTGTCAGTTAAACCAAAACCGACACAAATTTGCTTAAAATTGTGTCGGTTGAGGTCATAACCGACACAACTTCGTTTAAAATTGTGTCGGTTCAGTATACCCGACACAAAATCACAAAATATTGTGTCTGGTCTGGAATCGCCACGAATTGTCGACACAAAATATACATTTAGTGTCGGTTAAATGAACCGACACTAAACATATGTTTTCTTGTAGTGAAATGGATTCGTTTGATTTTTTGTGATTGTTTGGTTGAGATAGTTACAATACATGTATTGTCCACAATGCATTATTTTTCTGAATTTTCTGCACAAATAATATATGCATTGTTTGTTTAAAGTGATACAAACTATCACTCAAAATGAGTGATAGTTAAATCTCAAGTTTTGGATGAGAGTGTTGTGTGTTTTTTTCTTCCAATTTTGTCCCTACCTTTTTATGTGTCTTGGTTTTTTATATTACAAACAAAGGGTAAAAGTGACATTTCACCTGAAAGGTAAAATAACTCATTTAAATAACACAACGACTATCACATAAATGATAAACCAAACAACGTAAACTGTAATACACCAAATTTCTTATATACATGCATTGATAACAATATATTTATTTAACTATCACCAAAACCAAATGAATACGCAATTACAAAACGCAACAATATATTTATTTAACTATCACCAAAACCAAACGAATACACAATTACAAAGCGCAAGTATAATTGTTCGTGTTATATCAACCATCTACCTTCCTCAACAGTATCAAACCCTTTAGCTTTACATGTGTCCTAGGCTCCTAGCTAGGCACTGCACATAAGCGAGCCCTCCCTTTTCCTTAAATAGTAAAATACAAATCTCAACAGTTACAAAGCCCCCCCAAAATAAAGTGTATTTGTTTTGTCTTTCACTGAACCCATTTCCCTAAATAACATCAGTAAATTAAAAAAAAAAATAGCTCCATAATAGGAAAGTGCGCTTGAGAACTCAAACTTTTCCTCATTTTAATGAACACTTTTGAAGGAAATGATGATGACGTGGCCAGAATATGGTTCTTTTTTCCTTGGGCTCCTGTGTCTGTGTGTGGAATATAAAAGCACTGGAATGCAAGGATAGCATACCAGAGACCCACTCTGCTTCATTAATAAACCACACACAGAAGAGAGAGAGAGAGAGAAATCATGAGGATGGGAGTGGAGGTCCAAGATACGAGCTTTGCCGCCGTCGCAGGCCAAGAGAACGTCTCCGGCCGGTCACCGGCGCCGATCAGCTCAAGATTAGCCTCTCTCTTGGGTTCTAAAGACCGCGATTATCTCCTCTCCCGAGATGGAACTCAGGTAACTAACTACACACAAATTATCGGCAGCATACTTTAGCTTCTTGATCAACTGCGCCAAGTACAGTTAATTAAGTAGCTGTAATAATCACTTATTTAGTAGTGGTAATACTGTTTATGGTTTGAATCTTCTTTTCGGATTCTGGTGGTCGTACACGGTGCTGGAAAGAATGGGTTCAAGATAGATTCTTACTCTTTTCTTGCTGCTTAAAATGAAATCATCTTTGCTTGCGTTGGATTAGGCTCCACTAGATGCCGTTGTACAACGACCGAGAAAGAACCGAACAACAACTAACGCGACGGTCTAATCTATTGAGCTTTTTTTTTAATCACAAAATCGTCATCGTATCGAAATCAATATTATCAGGTATGAGTTTAAATGAAACCTCTCATAGTCGAGATGTGTCACAAACATTGGTTCGAAACTGAGTTTTTTCTTCTTTCTCGTGCATAAAGATGATATGAGTATTTTTTTTTTTTTTTTTGTTTACCAAGACTTGGGAGTTGCAAATTTTTGTTTTGATTATGATGTAGGCGACGAAGTGAGTAACCAACCCAATGGGTGGGTCAAAAGCTTGTCGACGGCCAAACACGTGTAGGGTTTTGCTTTTGTCACTTTGAGGAAAAACATAAAGTTATTGTATACCTTACTCTCCATCTGAAAATAATTATGAAGCTTTAACTATTAGTGATGAGGTGTCAGTCATGGATCACGTCTTCTCGATAATGGGAAATATAATTCTGAGGATTAGTAGCTTTAATCATGGGGGTTTTCAGCTAGTTCTAATTTAATTAATTAATACAATCCCTTTGTGCTTGTATATTTGACTTTTTGTTTGTTATATGATCCGATCATAACCAAGATTTATGGGTACCGCACTCAAGCTTTAATTGCTGAATTTGACGGTAATTAGGACTAATCTCTTTGATTTAATAATAAACAAATAGATGAAATGATTAATAGCGAGTCATCTTGTCAATCTTTTGTTAAAATTTTTTAAATGTGTTGATTAGAACGATGGGCTTTATGCGGCGGACACGTTTCTGTGTAGTTATGATCCCGTGACCAGAAAGGGCCAGCAGCCCAAATTCTGGGCCAAAAAGTACACGCGTCCTTCTCCCTCCCCAAATCTCTTCTTTTAGGAAGACACTCACGTCACAAGTACAACCACGTGTCCTCCTTCCAACCGCTAACCCACCTGAATTTGGCAAATCTTTTTGCTGGCTCCAACTTCCTTTTCTTACTTTTCTCGTTTCCCAAATTAGGGCCCAAAACTATGGCTTTTCAGTTTTCATTAGGGCTGAAAATTTGCTTGTCTCGTCTCTGTCCCTCTCTAACTCGTCCCTGAAGGGTCAAGATGTATAACCGTCCCGTCTCTGTCTCCTTCTTGACCATGTCTGACCCTCAAGGGTTGGAACGGGACGGGTCAGTGGGTCGACCCTAATCAACACATTACTTTTTTACAAATTACGTTTTGGTACCCAAAATTATTTTTTCTTACAATTTAGTACCTAAATTTTATTTTTTTTACAAATAAGTCCATAAATTTTGATGGTAAAATTACGTTTTAGTAGCCAATTTTTTATTTATACAAATTAGTACCTAAACTTTTTAAACTTTACAAAAAGGTCCAATGAAGTATGAGATATTTGTTGTTGCTAAGGGTCACAGGGTCAAAACGTGACCCGTCCCGACCCTTTCAGGGTCATCAAATGACCCGTCCCTAATCTGTCCCTGTAGTCAAACTGACCCGTCCCGACACTTAGGGACGGGACGGGTCAGTGGGTCTTCCGGGACAAGCTTTCACCCCTACTTTTCAGATTCTTGATGGGTTCCCTGTCGGTGCTTTAAAAAGGTTCCTTGTCGGGCCTTCCACTTCTCTTGGTCCGTTTCCTTCTGGTACAAGTACAACTTACAATGGGGTTTAGGTAACCAATTAGTGGAGCGGGAGCGGGAGCAAGAGCAAGAGCGTGAAATCATCTATTTTAGAATAATCCAACATCGAGAGCGTGGAAAAAGCGCTATTATTATATTATTTTTTATTAAAATTTGTACCAAAATTGAATATTTAGAATACATTTTGTAAAAATGCAAGCGAGAGTGAAATATGGGTGAAATGATTTAGTAGCTTTCGGAATCAAAATGATTTACTAGCTAGTACTATTATGATGTTAGTATAATGAAAATTTAATTGAAAATGGGGATCAAAATTATTATAATAAAAAATGTCATTTTATTTCTCTTCCCCACCCACCACCATGTACATCCTCAATAAACGCCTTCCTATTCTGAACCTCTTCTTTCTCCCGTTCTCCGTACCACTTCAAAGCAGAGGAAGAAAACCAGTTCAAGCTTTTTCCCTTCCTTGATCCATAAATTCATATACAGATATACTCATCTCTCATATGCAACCGGCAGGTGAGATATTTCCCCCTAGATCTCGCTTTGGATAGGTAAATTGACGACGGATGAGGCTCCGACAGGCGACGATTGACGGATAAAGAAGCAGCAACGATCTGCAAACCGTCGATTAACGCCACCGGGAGGCAGGGTTCCTCTCCTCTTAGTTATCTCGACTCCTTACTTTAAATGTGATTTTTGGTTCCGAATATGAATATCCTAGTCTGAACCTGAACTAATACGATCGGCCCAGGAACATGCTTTTAACGATTGTGATTGCTTCTCCGCTGGTAGTTCTAGATTTATGCCATATCATGGTTCCTTTGATTTTGCAAGCTAGACTGCAACAAAGTAATCTTGGTTCAATTGAAGTTTCAGTAGTTGCATGCTCTTCTCAATTGCTCTGTTTTTACTCTAGAACATCTTTGTTAGTAGCCACCAACTCTTTCCCTTTGTTGCGATAGATCTTCGCTTCTTCGGCCACATCCTCCTCACAGTGGTTGTTCTGAAAATTGCGCTCTCAACAATGAATTGAGAAGTCGCCCTCTGAAAATGAAAATCCGCGCTCCGTAAAAATTTAGTCTGCGATTTTCTTGTGGATTATTGCAAATTCGCGCTTTCAGCGCTCTAGAGCGGGAGCGCATACCACAACCCAACGAATTGGGTGACCTAAAATGGGATTCGTGGCAATTTTTTTCCCAATTAGCTAATTATTAATAGTACAAGATAGTGATTAGTGAAGGTATTGATCTAGCACTAATTAGGGGTGCTGTTTCGGTTCGGGTTGGGTAACAGAACCCGAAACCAGAGAAAATCCGGCAACCCGAAACCGTTACTGTACAACCCGAAACCGAACCCGAAATTGTAGCTTGCGGGTTTTGGGTACCTGAACCCGAAATTTGCGGGTTTCGGTTGTTAGCTTAACCCAAATTGCAGAAGAACTTTCAGCGAGAATACTGTGTCTTCGTATCCATCTACAGAAGATGGCTAAAATGTAATCAACCCAGATTCCACCTTTAATTCATACCAACTACAAGTACACCGCCATATATTAATCCCGCCGATCCTCTTTAGTGCCGATTCCTTTCTTTGTTCCTCAAATTATCCTGCAGTTGCTCTGTTGTAATTTGATTGAAAGGGGACCCAAACGCCAAGAACCCATCAGGCCCATCACCATTCCAATTCAACAACCAGCAAAGAACCCAACAGACAGAGCGGGAAGGGGAAAGGGGAAGAAGAAGGCCTTTATGGGATTCCATAGCAGAGGTCGGAGAGGGGACTACCCGACTCGGACAGAGATCATCCACTTCCCCGTTGATGGGTTTCGACGGCCGCTGTTGAGTTTCCCATGAGGCCGCTGGCGGCGAGAATGATGATGGCGGCGAGAACGATGCGTCGAGGACGGTGACGACGAGGGAGTTACGCCGGGCGATGCTAGTTTTGAGCGTTTGCTGAAGGTAATGGCGACTTGAGGCGAAAAGCTAGGGATTTCACTCGGCCCGGGATTGCAGCGTCGTCTCAGTTCTCACCAAAAACGACATTTATTGAATTCGGGTTCTCGGGCTGGTGTCGATTTTCGGGTTTCACTGAAACCGAAACCGCTGACAGCATATGCGGGTTGAAACTGAGAAATCGAAACCCAAAAGAACATATATCAGTTCGGTTTTGGGTTAACCCGAAAAATCGAAACCGATTTGACACCCCTGGTACTGATATAGTTGAACAAATGATATAATTGTTGTTCTACGCAAAAAAGTTATTGTGCTCATAGTTGACTTGGGAGCACGTACTCACAGGTGCTTAAAGTTATTGGATAGGACGCGCAAAATTGTAATTGTTTCGATTCAACGATCAGAGTTCGTCTGTGCACAGTTAATTGTACCAAGTGCTTGTCGGTACGTTTTCACAAAGCGCCATAGAGCACGATAACAATAGAAAGCGACAAATGAATAACCAAACAATCATTGTTACGAGGTTTTTGTTATACAAATGTTTTGAAATCATAGGATTGTTTAGTAGGAATCTGTAGCACAGTTGTCTCCATGACTAAAGTAATTAGGCCACACATAGTGAGTATAAGACCATATCCTAATTCTGTCATCAGAGATTATCTATTCATCGTCACATTTCCATTTCCATTTCCATTTCTTCTCGCAGGTGAAAATGTCCGACTTAGAAGGCAAAGTAGTGGCACTATACTTCTCAGCAAACTGGTACCCTCCATCCCGCAACTTCAACCAGTTCCTGATTGGCGCCTACCAGCAGCTCAAATCTACAAACGGTTCCAATTTCGAGATCGTTTTCGTCTCCTGTGACGAGGACCTCAACGCATTCAATGGCTCTCAGTCCCGTTCTCCGATCTCGAGACGAAGAAGTCGTTGACTCGGAAATTCGAGATCGAAGCGATTCCCTGCCTTGTGATCCTGCATCCCGGGTCAGGGAAAGATGTCGAGCAAAATGCGCTAAGAAACGGCGTCGAATTGTTGCATCGATTCGGGGTGAATGCATTTCCATTCACCAAGCAGAAGCTGGAGCAGCTGGAGAAAGAGGACAAGGAGAAGCATGACAGCCAGACACTCGTTAATTTGTTGACCAATCGTGATCGAGACTACGTTTTGAGTCACCATGGAGCGAGACAGGTACTAAAAGGTTTGGCATAGCTTTCAAATTGATGGAGATTAGATAATTTGGTGGGCGATTCGGGCTAGATGTAAGTACGTTATTTATCACTAGATCAATACCTTGTTGTGACAGTAATTTGAACATATGACGGCACACTGCAGGTGCCGGTAGCATCACTAGTAGGCAAAACGATTGGGCTCTACTTCTCGGCTCAATGGTGTCTGCCCTGCGAGAAGTTCACCCCAAAGCTCGTCCCAATCTACCACAAGATCAAGGCCGACGACGAAGACGACTTCGAGATCGTGTTCGTGTCGAGCGATCGTGACCACGAATCGTATGCCTCCTACTTCTCCTTGATGCCGTGGCTGGCGATCCCCTTCGGCGACGCCAACATCAGGAGCCTCGCGAAGCACTTCGACGTGCAGGGGATCCCCTGCCTGGTGATCCTGGGGCCCGACGGCAGGACCGTCACAGCGAAGGGGAGGAGCCTCATTAACCTGTACCAGGAGAATGCATTTCCCTTCACCGAATCGAAGGTGGAATTGTTGGAGAGTCAAGTGGATGAAGAGGCTAGGGACTTGCCGAGGACGAAGCTCCACGGTGGGCACAGGCACGAGCTGAACTTGGTTTCGCAGGAGAATGGCGGCGGGCCGTTCATATGTTGCAACTGTGAGGAGCAAGGGGTAGGGTGGGCGTACCAGTGTTTGGATTGTGGGTATGAGTTGCATCCCAAGTGCGTCAGGGTCGTGGGGGATCATGCTGTGCGTGATGTTGCTAGCAATGGCTGAGAAAGAAACAGAGAGAGAGAGAGATAGAGAGAGGTTTTGGTGTTCTATGGTTAATTCCAGCTGCGTTTTGCTAATTACCTTCGACGCTTCTTCTTCTTCTTCTTCTTCTTCTTCTTCTTCTTCAGTACTGCTCTGATTTCTGGTTTTGCATAGCAAAGCTTGATTAGCCGCGACCTTGTGGGGTTGGAGCATCTCTAATCTTTCTTGCCCAAGAGAAACAAGGGTCTCTTTGGTGTACATGGGTAGTGTTAAATTAATCGCAAGTAAGGAACTTCCTCCATCTCTCTGTCTACCGTTTAGCTCTATCAAAATTTCCTTTTTATTATGTCAGTTTGACAAGGATAGTCTTATATAATATATTGCACTCTATACGTGGGTGAATTGTTGATCATAGGGTTAGGGTTTAAGGTTTAGGAGGTTCAGGCTGAGGGTTCACAATGGGATTTAGTCTTTACAATTGATGTTTAGAAGGTTTAGTGTTTAAGATTTAGGATTTAATGTTTATAGTTCAGAGTTTAGAGTTTAGGGTAGGTTAACATTTCAGATTTAGTATACTAGCTTAAAATGCTTGCTAAATTTCTAAATTCATACTTATATAAGTCATTAGAACTCTTCCTATCGATCGAGCTACTTTGTTCTTCTTCTCTCAAAGTAGGGAATTGATGCAGTGCCACAGCCATTTTTCGCAGCTTCTACTGCAGAAGTGGAGTGCTTATTCTACATGGAATATGCAACTACCAAAAGATGTTGGTGGCGTGGATCACCAAAGATTCTGTCATTTTCCACCATGGTAATCTCCGAGGATATTACGTTGGATAAATGATGTATCCGATGTTGGCTTGTTTGGAAGTCTGATGATGGTGTTGTGCTAGTTGGCTCTGTCTGTTCCTTGCCTGTGTTGGTAGAATCGACTGAAGCCCAATCCTCCATCCACAACTATATATGCCTCCGCAACACAAAGTAACTGAAATAGCAGTACTGGAAGTTCCTCGTTCAACTCTCCCACAATCCACGGTGAAGGCAGGCAGAGCTTTTACACAGGAAATACGCACCATGGGCATCGCAGCCTACCGCACCAGCTTCCTTTGCCTCTCCATTGCCGTAGCTTTCCTCCTCCTTCCCCTCTGTGCCAATGCAGAAAGTAAATCCCACATTAGCTATCCAGAATTGCAGAATTCTGTCTCCTTACTATTAACCCCCCTCTAACACCATGTAAATGATGCATTAATTGCAGACCCCTTGACCAACGTCAACCTAAGCCCCTTCTGGGAGTGGAGAAGTGCATACGACTGCATGCAAAATGTAAGCCGTCCCCGTGAGTGTTCTCGAATCCAACGACGTTAGCACGTGCTAATTAGACACTTTGCGCTTTTTGTTTACATGTGTACTTCTCAGTTCTCGAAGAGCTGCGAGGGAAAAGACGTGCTGACGCTGGCGGGAGTGGTGGACGTGAACGACACGGAGGTGGGAGAGTACTGCAAGGAAGGAGGGTGCTGGAAACACACCACCGACGTTCTCTACTGCATCTCGCTGGTGAAGAGGGACTTCTGGTTCTCAAACAAGGCCACCGTCTCCGCCCTCACCAACGCCATCCACAGCGGCTGTCATTCCATGACCGGTTTCAGCACCGCCAACTACACGGTGGCCACCAGCGGCGCCACCGCTCGATTCATCGTCTCCCGCTCCAGCTACTACTATCTGCCCCTCTTCATCTCCATGTTCTTAGTCGCCACCCATCTCTTCTGAAACGAGATCATGATCTCGTCAACTCATATGCAAAATAATATCTAATCTAGAAGTGTTTGTGCCAAAAATAATTTCACAACCGGATTTGGATAACTCATCAGTCTCTCTGTTGTACTTCGGTAGCTGTTTATCATAAATTTTTTTGAGTGTGTTAAGGAGTAAAAAATTCAAATGATTGATCCTGTTAAACGAGAAAACAATTAGGAGAGGACTCAGAATTACCCAATGTAGAAAGATATATCATTCAACAGTCAAGCAACAACAAAATTGCGCATACTATATCATCATCGGCCTCGGATGAGTTGAAAGCTGCCATTTTGAGATTTTATCAAGTGAAAAATGTAGTTGTCTACCGATGTGGTACTAAAGTAGAGCCTTGCCTTAAAAAGGTTCCTTTGCCATGAGAGGACTCTGTGGCTAATTGGTCCGGTGTGGTTAGGCAAACTGGAGCAGCTTTTAGGAAACAAGTGCTTTACGCATCAAGACGTCGTGCTGTCGATCAACCAGGTGTGTATAAGAATTTTGATAACGGGCACCAGGTTTTCGGATTGTTGCACTACAATAAGATGGTGTAAGAGACCCTGCGATGTCTGGACACCTAATAGTACTATTGAACAACAACTAGTATACAACATTTCCTCAACATCTAACACCACCCAAAGCTCTGGCCTGATGGAAGCAAAAACAAGAAATAAAGTTATTCAAAATGGAGCAAAATCTCTTTGTATGGTACTGGCTTTTCTCTGTGTTTCGAGGTAGAGAATGAAGCAGTCTAAAATCTACACCAACTTCTGCAGCTGGATGAAAACAAAACAACCATAAGCTTGTTAGAGACATCACAAATAGTTAAATACAAACCGCTGTTTGAAACAAATTAGCTCTCCTGAACCCAGATCACATAAAACTTTACCTTCATAAGAAGGTACTAAAACCTAACTAATTTTAGGGATTTCAGTTCCTAAAGTTGTAACAAAAACACGGGCATTACAATTCATGAAGGCTTTTGATAACATAACGATTTCTCCCCAATGATACAAAGAAATTATTCTATTTCTTTTGGTTCTTTTTTTCACCCCTCGAAAGTAGAACTACGCATGTTTCTTCTTTTTAGAAAATTCGATTCACAATTTCACTTTGGGCAGCGAGCAGCAGCTGAAATTTCACATTGCTTTGAACTAGAGAGAAGATTCCACTAAGAAACAGCAGTTACCTTCTATCTGACCTTGTACTCTCCGAGGTGCATCCACTTGGTAGCTGACCATTTGTTCCCTATAATCACTGGGCAACTACCTGAGACAAACCAACGAAATGCACTTCAGAAAAGAGAGAAATACTTGATTTCTTTTTTTCAACAGTTGGCAAATAAAAGAGAATAGATATACCATGTAAACTGGAAGGATCTAACGAGGCATCCGGCCTTGTGCTCCAAAATAACAAAGCATTCCCCATCTTCGGTTTCAGGGAAAGACCCTTTTTACCACATTCAGACAGTTCATCCCACCATGGGACCGTACTGGAATTTGCCTTTGCACTAGGAAAGACGGTTTCGCCTCCTTCTTCAACGTCTGACCTGGATCGAAACACCAGAGACACAGTGAATAGGAAGTCACAATAATGTTTCACAAAATGGCAGAAGGCAGATAAGTACGCCAACAGAGCGATGAAAACATGGTGACCATAGGAAAGATAACACTCACAGATACATTAGCAGAGTAGCAGTCCGCTGCCCTCCATTTTTGGTGTTGAACTCATCAAGGAAATAATCGAAGTGAGGCTCGTACTTCTGACCGATTTCATAGTGGAGGATTTGGAGTCCTTCACCATTATCTGCAGTATATAATGACATGGAATTCATTCAATGAGTGAAGCACCTCACAATATCAGAGAAATGGGATATGCTTAATGAAGTGGATAACATTGATATGGGAAACATAGAGTTGAATGCTGAGGATGCTTTCGATAATTTATAAATGGAAGTCTAGTGCGATATACACAAACATTTAATGAATTCCTCCGCCATTTTCTGCATATGATGGAACTATTTCAATGAAGCAGAAAGGTGCACAGTCTAGGTGACACTGGAAATTGTTACGGATGTAGCTGATACTAACATTGGAAAAATGGTGATTGTGATGGTTTAGACCCCATGATCTTTCATCAATGGGAGCCCTAATTTTATGAAATCTATACTTCAGACGCATCGTACCTGCAGGAATTAACGAGAAATCTGCGATTCTCTTCTCTATGGCCCTAATGATTTTATCCTGTCCACGCCTCAGGAACATCCCTGAGCTTGTGCGAACCCTGCAAGTAAAAGGAGTTATTGCAAGTGTCAACCTAACTAACTTTTCAACTGAATCTATCTGAAAAGAAAGAACACGAAAAGAAGTACTCCAAACACTCCCGAGATCTGCCAAATATTCAGGAAATGTAGGTAACAGCACCTGCTATCTTTACTCTTCCCTGTTTTGCTGTCCACCACGGTTGACTTTGTCAAGTGAGGCTTAGCAAGAGAGATTAGGTACTCACATTCTTCTTTGGACTGTTGACATTAGAATCCAGTATTAAGAATAACTATCATTGGAAGTAATGAGCATGGAATAAGGCAATGCAACTGAACAGCATAGAAGACCTCCACACAAGGGCATTACTAAATGCCTAATCAATTGAACTTCCTCCACCTATATGACATTAAAGAAAGGGAAACACCAACCTATAATTCCACCAGAAACTAGAAAACGAATTTCAGAAATAAGCAAAGATTACACTGAATCTGCTGCAGCTCAAAACTACAAGCACAATTCTTCCTCTATCTAAATCTTATACCAGTAAAACTCGATCTATGCATGAAAGCTGACGCCAGAAGAAAAGCATATTGGAATCAGCAGCTTGAAATTAGATGACTAAAATCAAGAGAATTCTTCTTCTATAAAAGCTAGTATTAGCTTAACTCAAATACATGAAATAAATGCTGAACCAAAAAGATGGATACATCGCTCAGCCAGCCAAATACATTTATCTAATCAATTGAACCTCCTCAATCTAGGTTACTCTAAAGAAAAGAGGCACAATACAAGCATCCAAGCTATGATTCCATTCCAAGCTACCGAAATTCCAGTAATAAGACGATGAAGATTAAACCCGTATCAGCTACTGATCAACATTCCAAGAACACAATAGATTCTTCCTCTATGAAATTGCATAGTAGCAAAGCTCAGTCTATGAAACGAATAGCAGAAACTATAAGAGATCTAACAGCAAATCATCAGTACCTTGAAATTATAAAACCATAAGAGAACTATTCCTCTCTATGGAATCTCATACTAGCAAACTCCAATCTCTGATGATGAATGCTGAACCTAGAAGATAGATCCATCGGCTCAAACAGTCAAATGCATTTTCCAACCTATTAAACTTTCACAACCTATATTACCCTAAAGCAAAGCGCATCTAAGCTAGAAGTCCATTATAAGCAACAGTGAAATTCAAACCATGAAGATTACGCTTGAATCAGCTAACAGCTCAAACTAACAAGCACTCAAGAGAATCCTATCGCAACGGAATTCATACACTGGTGAGCAAATCGTCCTATGAATCTCCGAAGAAAACTAGATTTGAATCAGTTGTAGCTCAAAATGTATCTCATACTAGCACGAATGCAGAAGCTATGGCTCGGAAAATGAACTCACCAAGAAATTGTGATACAGGAAAGCTCTAGGCTCCCAAGAAACGATCTCAGTCCACTGATCGCCTCGCTTTCCTAGCCCGTCGCCATCTCTGCACCAATGCAAAACGGTTTCAAACAAAAAAATTCAGCACACCAAATCGAAACCTTGTTAATTGAAACTCAAGCAATCACAGACCGCCGTCGCGCTCTCACTCTCGCTTACCGTTCGGCGGCCATGCGGCGGTAGGAAGCAGGCAGATCGTTGGGAGTCGAATCGTCGGTGCTCACAGGGAGCGAGAAGATTCCTAAGCCTAAGAGCACGAGGAGAACGAGCGAGAGCATGAAGAGCATGGAGAGAACCAATGTGAATGTCGACCATTTCTTCGAATGCAATCGCGAGTGCCTCAACTTCGCCATTTTCCCTTCGCTCGAGGAGCTCTAAGAAGCGCCGGTGATCATCCGCCGCAGTAGCAGCGACAGCGTTTTCTTGAATATGCAAAGTTTCGCTGGAGAATTTTGTGAGCTGTGCTGATTTTTGAAGAATCGCGGCAGAGAGAGAGGAGGAGCTGTCGTGAAGAAATCTGGAACTGGAATGGCTCTCTCTCTGTTCTGTTGTATAGCGAGGAGAAAGGGATTCCGTTACAGGGATTTCAGCATTTATAGTGTCTAGATTTCAGGGAGTGAACTGAAACTTTTTTGTATGCCAACCAAGACATTTCCGAGCGTGAGCGAAACGGAAGCGGAGAGCGGTTTTCGTCATTTGGTACCAGTTTACGACTTTGTTTTACATTCAAGGCTGCGGCGCTGTCGTGCTGTGGGCAGCACCTGGTTTTTGTTGAGAGAATTTTGTTGGACAGAGACAGACTGATTCGCCTTGTTTTATTAATTATTTTAGGGTTAATATTTCTATATAGTTTGAACTTTGACCAAAATTAAACATCATGATCAATCTTTTCGATCTATAGTATCTTGATCTGAACTATACATCAAAATAAACAATTTGGTCAGATTTGACTTTTGACCGTTAACTTGGATGGTCAAACGCGTTACTAACAATCAACGCGCCATGTCATTGCCAACTCAGCAAATTTCAATTAATTTTTTTTAATTTACACATATTTCCATTTTCTTCCATTTATCATTTTGAACAAAAAAGAAAACACATTTTCAATTTCGGGACAAAACGCACGCCACTTACCGGGGCTCTGTTGGGTTTTGTCCCGAAATTGAAAATGTGTTTTATTATTTTTTTTCGTTCAAAATGATAAAGGAAAGAAAATGGAAATAGGTGTAAATTAAAAATAAAGTTGATTGAAATTTGTTGAGTTGGCAGTGACATGGCGCGTTGACCGTCCAAGTTAACGGTCAAAAGTCGGATCTGGCCAAATTGTTTATTTTGATGTATAGTTCGGGCTAGGATGTTATAGATCGAAAAGATTGGTCAGGATGTTTATTTTGGTCAAAGTTCAAGTCATATGATATGATCTCAAATAAGCTAGTCTACAAGTTAAAATTACTTGATGAAGAAGCAAGCTCAAGCTGCCCGAAGATCATTCATTTTTGTCCAAGTCATTTTCCATGTTCAAGTAGCCGACTTTGGAGGCATGGTTCTCTCAATTTACTCAATGAAACTTTGTGTTTGATAGCTTTTATTCATATAAGAATTTTATCTACTCATTGATATGCTTTGATGCTCAAGGAAAAGTCCAGAATGTCATTTTCCAGACGTGTAAAGATGCTACCTCAAAACTGAAAAACTGCCAGAAAATGACTAAGATAGAAAACTGTTTTGAGATACCAACTTTGAAGATGGTTAGGAATGTAAGTGTATATATTACACTCAGGTTTCTCCTCTGAATTGGCAATTCATAACCGAGGGGAAAAGAGGTGAGATTTGACTCTTGCAAACTGACATTGTGCCTGCATTGTGCTAATGTCGGACCAAGTTGCTGCTGCTGCTGAAACTGCACTAGTGATATTTAAGCACTGCTTTTCTTCAACTGAAATCCTCAAGAGAGATCTCTGTAAACTAAAATTGCAAGTGCAAACAAGTAGTTGCAGTTACCCCTGGCAATTAGACCTTTCTAAATGGTAACCACTCTTTTACACTTCTGACTTACCAGCAAAGCTTGCAATTGGCTAGCCAGATTATCAAAAGCCATTGGTATTCTGGCTCTGGAGCTCACAGAACAAATGCCAACTGAATCACCCTGTAACCAATCTTACCAACATCTCTGGCACATTGCTCTTTCTCAATCAATCTCTGGAGAGTATCAAACTAAAATGGTGGAGACCCAAATTCCTCTGCAACAGTGTACACAAGTTCTTTCAATTACTGCAAATAAAGACCACAGGATTAGCCTATTGTGCAGTGAAGGAATAAAATCCCGGGGGGGGGGGGGGGGGGGGGGGGGGGTTTATAATGGAATGGGCTTTCTCTTGGCTCATATACTGTTGTTCCTTCCGATTGATTACTTCCAATTGTTGGCCCATGCAGAAGCCCAGAGTCATCGGAATGGGAGAATGATAGGGTCAGAGTGCAACTATTCGGTTCCAACAAGATCAAACACATGGGACGGGAGCGTGGGTACAACAATAAACGATATTTTAGGATCAATGATCAAATTATCATCGTATTCAATCTGATTTTATTTAGTCCAAAAATCAATTCCATCTTTTTTCTTAAATATTTATAAACAATTTTGTTCTAACCAACGGGTTTTGGTACACAAAGTTGGTTTTGGTACACAAAAAAACAAAATGTGGCGAGATGCTCTCGCCTCTCTCCTCGGCTTCAGCCTTCTCCTAGGCCGCCTGTTCATCGTAGCGGTGAAGGAAGTCATGTCTGCTAGTCTGCGAAACCAAGCTAGGAGATGGAATACTCAGGCGAATTCTGCAAAACCTGCAAGAATCGTATCACTGTCGATACAACTCTGGGAATGAGGGCGTCTCTCTCAACCGGCGAGTCAATCCCCGATATTTGCACAAGGGAAAAAAACGGAAGCTTGTGAGTTTGGATTTGGAGTGTGATATAAACTACTCCTTGATAAAGAAAAAGCGGAGGGCTCTGCGCATGAAAGCGTGGTGTTTTAAGCTCCCTTCGTCGGACGAGATGGACGATACGGATTATGACCTCGTCCCTCGCGCCGCTTTGAAAAGGAACCTCGTCGGAACACCAGTGGTGTGTCGAGCGTGGTTTCCAACGATTCAATCATCCCACTAGGGTTCGAAAGGAAAAGCCTAAGCCCTAGAAGGGATTCGACAATTATACCCCCCAGGTCCCACCATAATGAGTGGTCGAAAATTATGGGTAACCCGGATCGGTGGGAAGAAGCACGGTGGTGTTGTCAGAGCCGACGGGAAATCTCCAGGCGTGCCGATATTTTGGAACTGCTGGGGATCCGGATGTTGTTTTCCCCGGGATGCTCGAGTGGGATATCTTCCCGAAAAATCCGACGGTGCAACAACAATTTAAATTTTAAATTCAAAAAGGTGGATTATCTTCAAATCACGAGTGGGATAGAGAATCTGATCGCCGAGTCACCTATCCACTATCTCGAATCGGTTACACGAAAGGAAAATTGGAAGGAGGTAACCTAATTGGGAGAAACCTCTTGCTTGACTCTTCCTACTTATACCTCCATAACCGTCGCATTCCCATCTCCCTGAGATGTACTGAGCAGCGCATAACGGTAGAAAGTAGCGAGATCATTGGTGAGCATCCCAAAAAGGCAGGCTTCCTCCTTCCCCTAGGTAATCTCCATCTCCTTCCTACTGTTCCTAACTCGGATATAGAGAACAAAGAAGGCAACTCTATCCATGCTCTACGTGACCCATTGGGCCAAGGGATGGTATCACGAGCTCTTAACATTGATGGAATTACTTCTCCCCCCTCTATGCAGAACACGATGGCTGCTCATGTGAGTGAGGACCAGGTGGTGCAGTTTTCCCTCGATGAAGTTCAATCTGTCAAAGTTCGCAGCTCCCACACTTTGCTTGGCCGCGTATTCACCACGGCACTGGTCTCGCCGACGGAGCTTCGGGATTCAGTGAATTCCCCATGGCAGTGCAAGGGTAGGATCAAAGTGCTACAAGCAAAGCACGGTCTGTTTGAGTTCGTTCTCCCCTCTGGAGAATCCAAAATCTGGGTTCTAAAACGAACTCCTTGGGTGGTGAATGATAAGATCATCCACCTACGACCATGGACACCGGCTATAACCAGACAAACATTTGAGGAGCTTGCGACTGCTCCCTTTCGGGTGCAACTTTGGGATGTGAAAGATGATTGCTGCACCGCCAAATTTGGAATAGGGGTGGCAGGGCCCACAATCGGCCAGGTGCTTGAATCTGGTGTCTATTCCTGCCAAGAATCAGGGAAATATTTCATCAAGGTGAAAGCAGTGATTGATTTCTCTCGACCTTTGAGATCGCAATTACTGGCTTCTAGTGAGGAGACAGGGGGATTTTGGGTGCGACTAAAATATGAGCACCTCCCCTCTTTCTACTTCCATTGTGGGTGGGTGGGACATTACCAGAGAGAATGTACCTTTGATCCTCCAAATCGCAAGGAACGCTTCGGCCCACAAATGATCACCAATAAATTGGGGACCAGAGTTTATGATGCTAACGACATAACTATCCCTTTCCATGGGAGGGCTAATATTGTTTGGGTTAACAATGACCTAAAGGGCACTCAACATCTCCCCAAACCGGATCGTCGTGGCGAGGAAATGCGGCAAGAGATGCTGGGAGAGGAGGGGTCGATCCGTGGTAATGGTGGAAAGAATGGGGAGGCCGTCGTGTTGATTCCAAGGGAGCAGCAGGGGCTGCCAAGGCGTCATCCACCAAAGGGTATCGCCATTGGTCGCTCGTCCAAAATAAAATGAGCACTACCATGCAGCGTCGTACCAAAGGTAAAGAAAAACAAGTACCCAACCGAGCTAACTTCAATGGCAAAGAGCCTCGGAAATCGGGACTGTCGAATTAAACGGTGGGGCAACATGCTGCTGAGCACAATGGCAATGGAGGTATCAATTACCATGAATTGGAGGTCGACAACCATCGCCTCCCAGCGCCTAGTCTCGGTCACCTAGTGGAAAACCAAACTCGAAGGCGAAGACTAGTGCTGGCGGAGGAATCTGAAGATGACATGTCGCCCCTTTTCGCCTCCCTGAAGGGCACGGGGCACTCTGGTGAACAAAACTGCTTCGCCGAAGGGCGAGAGACTGCTGCCCCCAATGCGCAGGCTGTGAAGGGGCCAGCCCTGCGGAGGCTTGTCAAAGCTTCCAGCCGCCGACCAAGCAATGATAATGTTGCGGAAAAAAAAATAATAAGGGACGCTGATGGGAACCACGGCGCAAAAGGCACCTCGGAAGTCATCGAAGAAGGCGACCATTGACAGTGGAAATTGAGTGGAAGTCCCTGTGATGGAAGCCTCGTCTCTCACTTCCTCCCCAGCTATTGCCGATCCTATACCGAAGGATAGTTTGGGGGCTGCTTCAGTCGAGTCGAGCCCGGAGGGAGAAGGGAACCGCTTTGAAGTGAAAAGCAGAAGGCAGCCGGCGACCTGACACGCTAAAACACAACACCTAACAATGGCCAAGTGTAACCAATGAAAGGGACTGCAGTATA